CACACACACACACACACACACACATTCCCCCTTCTTTCCCTCTGCAGGCATTGGAAGAAAATTCAGGAAAATGGGTCACGGAAGATAAGTAAAACGCTTTGGGGCACTGCTGCAGTTTTATCACTGATAATCTACAAGCTTGAAATGAAGGTTGTTCTCAACAGTTTACTACAAATCAAGAAGCTATTTAGGAACATTTGTTGCTTCAGTCCAGCTAGTTTTGCACTAAAAACACACGTGTTACAGAATAAGTTATGTACGAAAAACTGTAAAAACGTCATTGAAAGGTTGTGATTGGCTGCTGCGAGCCYGTTAGGAAACCATATAAGATGACGAAACGTTGTAACGGATCCTCCGTCAGCAGCTCGAGTGCTGTAACTAAATACCAAAGGCCTGTCTGGGCAATGCTCTGAATGCACACTGCTCTGCGTAACAAATATAATTATGCTCATAGATCCTGCCTTTAAGACCACAGCACTTTCCAATTTGCCTCACTTTTTCCACTTTAATGAGGGTCAAACAATAGTTTTTAGTCTCTAGTTCAAGTTTCAAGCTACATTACCCAACACAAAAAAGTATACAAGTATAAAGAAAATAGGGTCAGGTTTATTGACATTATCATAGAGGTGTAAAATTAATGAAACGTTTTAGCACTGAGGTAATTCTGATTTATTTTAACTAAACTCGTTGAAATTCGGGAATGTTTTTATAAATATATGGTGTATGTAAAAAGATAATGAGGACAGTTAAACAGAGGCTTTAACTCGAACTCAGTAATACTCGTAATAACACATAATAAATTTTCTACAATTATGAGGAAAAGCCCTTATTTTCTACACACTTTTAACCGTTATTTTTACCAGGCAAATCCCACTGAGATCGTTGATCTCTTTTGAAAGGGCGACCTGGACCTGAAGGCAAACTATTGTACATGTTTTTGGTCTGTGTGGGAAACCGGAGTACTTGGAGAAAGCCCACGCAGGCACGAGGAAAACATGCAAACTCTGCACAGAAATACCCCAGGTCCGAACAGAAGACCGAACCCAGGACCTTCGTGGTGTGAGACAACAGTGCTGACCACTGAGCCACCGTACGGCGCGCACAAAGCTTTTTATTGGCACAGAAGTTTTTACATTTATACACRTTCATGAAGTACACAATGCAAAGAAAGCTACGAGTTAAAGATCTGTTGGAATTCATACTTTATAAGTCATGTATTTGATTGTAGTGCATGCATATTCTTCATAAAAACTTTAAAAAAGTAGTTGAAAACACAGTGGTATTACTTCAAGCACAATACTGTTTTGCAAAGATGGAGGAGTTTATTCAGCTTTGATATTTTAACTGCATTATTATAACAGAATTGCTCGACAAAGAAATGAGATTTTTCTGGTTTCATGTTTTTTTTCCCCTCCACCAGGTCAAGTTTAGCACATGTTGAACATTTTACTGATTGACATGACCCCTAATAATCTGTTACTAATTAAATATGCTAGATTACTTTTATGGTAAAATAAAATCTCAAGTCTGAGTTACAACAAAAAGGCTTAAATTACAATTTCTGACTATTTAAAAATGGATGTTTGCAAAAACTGACACTTTATTTGTAAAACGCTCTCAGGCCGTGATGACACTCCAACACGACCTCCCGTGTCAAACCAAGGTCAAACATTTCACACTGAAATTTCTATTACATATTCCGCTGGTTGGCAAGGTTATGCTTCGAGTGTCAAAGTGGTGACTTTTCAACATGCAAATCAAAGGTTTTAACATGAATGGGGAAAAAAATCCAGATGACAATCAATGKTCCTAAAATATCATAGCAATATAGATTTCAGTATTTTATTTTACATGGCTCGTGTAGTGTTTTAATAAAATGAACATATCTGCTTTCTCTCATGTAAATATAATTCAGTCTGGTGAGAGAGTAATTCCTGTTGTTTGAAATAAACCTGACCAATTTTTTAAATATTTGTTGATTGGGTTTTGGAGCAGTGTAAAAGATGGATGTGATACCAAATCTTTATACCTCATTTCTTAAACTATAAGAAATACCGAAGTCTGAAAAGATGTTCGTCTACCAACATGACCTTAGCTTTAGCACCATCTTCAGACTAGATTATTTCAGTGCTCAGCATGGCTTGTTTTGACAATAATAGGCCTTTTTCTCAGGCTAATAGGAAGATACCCATAATGCATAATTAATTATGTAAAAGTGAGATCGCAACTCTTTCTTTTTGTGAAAATTTGACCATATAATTCATGTAATGACAGACAAATTCTGTCAACTTTAACACCTGTTATCTGTATGAGCTCATCACTAGGAACAACGCAGTTGAGGGGTTTTGATAGGTGCATACAACCTGTCAAAGTAAAACATTTCCACACTAAAAATTATATTTTACAATGGTCATACAATGGTTATAACTGCATTGCCCTCCAAGTTTTCTTCAAAATCGATCTGAACCCTTTTGTTTATTAAACAGAATGTTTTTTTTTCTCTCTAATGTTTCTGTGATGTGAATATGAAATGTTTACAGAGCTGCCAGCACAGCCACAGAGCAGGCACAACTTCCACCTGATGATACGTTACTTTGAAGTGTGTCGAAATAAAATGTACAGCTTGTATTCGTATTGCTCAGTTTGCTTCAGAACTGTGGCATCCCATGTCTTTTGAACTTATTGCATCTGTCGCCTTGATTATTTGTTTATCCAGAAATGTTTGCAGTATTTCAGTTTTATTTTATTTATTTGAATACTGTCAATTCTTTACTGTGCCGTTGTTTGGAACTTGTCTAACTCAAAATTTAGTTGTGTTTGAACTATGTAGTACACACTTATTTTTATCCATGCATATTTTCGTGCAACACGACATGCAAACTTGACATCAATAATGATTTTTTTATCTTTGACCATTCTATGTTTTATTTTAGACCAGAGACAATTCTTGCAGGTGATCAGATTTACTGAACACACAACAAAAACTGTAACTGTGTATTTTGTGCCATCATTTAGGTAAAAGTTGCAATCAGCAGATCTTCACAAAAATCAAATAATGCATTTTAATCATCCTTACACGGGTTAAAAATACAATATAAAAAGTTGTCATTTTTTTGTTCTACCTTTAATATTATTAACATGTTAAATTGTCAATGTGATGCGGTCAATGTTGATAAAACTACAAGATCATTTAAGAAYGGCATTGCTGAGCTTGCTATAAGCAATGTTTCACAATCGCACAATTTCCAAATACAGAGTGAGCCTCTTTAACAAGTACTTTTTGATTCTTTAGTAGGTTACTGATTAATAGAGACACATTTTACTATACGCTTTAAGATACTTTTTGTCTGAGGAAGATTCTGAAACATCAGCTAAATAACAGCATGTTGGTCACTGGAAGCTTTGAAATGGTGTTTGGATTCATTCGTTCTTCATTATTATTATTCAACCCTGTTGGTCTGTTAGCAAAAGATCTCATGAAACACTACCAACCAGAATGAAGCTCTCAAAATGTAATTTTTGGTGGTACACAGATTACTTCATCCCTATTCAAGATGGCCGCCACAACTAATTAATATTAGTAAATACAAACATTTCCATAACTCAGTCAATTTCACAGATGTTGAGCTAAAATTTGGTGCGGTAGTAGCTTAGAGCAGTGTTTTTCAACCCTGGTCCTCAAGGCACACTGCCCTGCAAGTTCCCTGCTTCAACACAGCTGATTTCAATTGATAACCGGTTAACAGGCTGTTGTTGAACTGCAATCATCTGAAACAGGTGTGTTCAGTGATCCTTATCACACACTCTGAACTAGGGTTGGGCAATATTGGCAAAAATAATATTCACGATTAATTGAATACATACATTGACCCATTTCCTGAGGTGTTTGTTATTATGCAAATTATGACAACAATGAAGGCGGGAGTTAAACAGAACCCGCTGACGTAACGAGGTGTTTGACACCGGGAACTTGCTGTGAGCCTCTCAGCACGCAGGTATTTCTGTTCTCTAGCTCAGTGGTTCCTAGGGTTGGGCATAATCGTATCGTGTGCAATTAATCGTCAGTAGAACACTAATCGATTATTTTTTGGCACTTGACGATTAATATGATTAATGCCACCAGGGGAGATTTCTCCAGTCAGTCTGCTCGATTCTCCTATCTGCTTCAAATATGACGAACATTAAAAACAAGTTCTCTAATTTATTTATATATCAACACAATTTAAAACTGATGTATAGCCAGAAGTCTGTAATTTTGACACAATTTGGAACAGATTTTTATGAAGAACAAATCTTTCCCACTAAATTGGTCATGTGACTAGGACTTAAGGGTGTCCAGGGACGCCAGGGCATAAATCGTCAAATTAATCGTTATCGGCTAAATACAGCAATTAATCGTGATTAATTTTTTTTGCCAATATTGCCCAACCCTAGTGGTTCCCAAACTTTTTATCTTCTGACCCACAAAATATTCCTGGCAAAAACTTGTGACCCTAAATTTTACTGGTCTGAGTACACAAACTTTGTTAATTACCCTAAAAACAAAGGTTACACAAACTTATATATCCTTATTTTGTGTTTTTGTTAAAAAAAAATATAGGGAAAATATTACAATGCTAATTATTTTATTACCCTTTCAATTGATTTCTGAAATGCAGTGGTTCCCAAACGCTTCAGCTTTTGACCCACAAAATAACAGTAGACCTGAGCCCACAACTATTTTTGGATGATAAACATTTGTATCAGGYCAACTAAACATGGGCATATTAACAATATTTCTACATTTATACATTTTAGGCAACCAAGGCAAAAATGTAATGAATTTAGAAAATCTTTTCAGGACCCCAACTTGATGTTTCAGGACCCCACTTAGGGTATCGACCCCAACTTTGGGAACCACTGCTTCTAGCTCGTCAATGCAATGGTGTCCACAGATGCTTCTCAACCCCTTTAACTGACAGCTCACCTAGCCAATCAGCGCCTCACCTCGTCACGTGGTCCCGTTGCCACACAGACGAGCGGCCCTGCAGCCAATCAGCGGGGCAGCTGTCGCTCTTCTTCGGCACTGCGTGTGACGACGAAGCAAAACAACAACAGCGTTTTCATGAAATGTTTCCGAGTGTTTAAAAAAAAAAATCACTGCTCCTCGTCCACCTGTGAGAAACACACAGTGAGCCAAAGAGTTCGTTACGGCAGCTGTCGAAGACAAAAAGAAAGCTCGTGCTACGTTTAAGCATTCATCCAGCTTTTGTCCCCACACGTCTTTTTGTCGTGCTGTTGGCTGGCAAGCTCTCCTCTCTCTCTGCAGTGCGATTAACCCGAATCTTTAGCTGCAAGCAGCCGAACCGGTTTGTTAAGAAGGATGAAATATCAGCCTCGCATGTTATAAAAGCTGCTGCGACAAGAAGTACAAAGAGAAATCAAGAGAGATTAAAAAAAACGTAAACACTGGTTTCCCAGAGCGTCACCCGCAGATTGAATAACAACCTTCTGCCTTCTTGTGTACATAACATATAAGTACCTACCTGAGCAAATATTAACACTTAAAAGAAATGGCGAATTTAAAACCAAAATTTAGCCGTGCAGTTCAGACGCCAACACTTAAATTCTCGTTGTAAAAGTGAGACGAGCGATGTTTGGCTGTTAGTTTAGCTGGCTATGCTTAGCTTTTTTTTCTTGGGCCCGAGTGCGCCATCACCAAAACAAAGCAGGTTAGGTAAGCTCGCTTTATTTACTTACCCTGTTGTTAAACGCAACACAAAACAGACGCACAACACGAGCTGTTCGTGAATGTCAAGACACACAAACTCTAATATAACACAGGCGGTCATTGAGACAAACACGAAGTTACCAAGAAGGAGAAAAACAAAAAATACTCACAAATGTGTCGCATTTACGCACTCCTTGGCCGTGAACGCACCGTTCGATGCGGCGGTCAGTGAAAGCCACTTTTTTTGTTTGTTWGTTTTTGTTTTTTGTTTTTTCTGGCACCCTGACAGCTTATTGAGGAGAAAAGAGGAGAGWTTGCCGCTGAGCTAAGTTGCTGCTTGGTTGGAGAGAGAAAGTGGAGAGCCGTCTGAGAGGAGGCAGAAAGAAACAGCTGAGAGGGAAATGTAAACACGGGTCACATGGTCTGAAAGAAGCAAGCACTGCTTCTATCTATCTATCTATCTATCTATCTATCTATCTATCTATCTATCTATCTATCTATCTATCTATCTATCTATCTATCTATCTATC